GGAAGGAACCCTTTTGCCAGCCTCTCCAGAAGCCTGCTTTCCCTGCAGTTTTAGTCTTTCTCTTTTTTCCTTCTTTTTTTTTGGGCACCTGTTTTCTACACCTACCAAAAAGCACGAATGCAAGCGACAAAAGTTGTGGTGTCCGAATTCAGCAACCTCACTGTGAAGTCAGTGTAAAGTCAGCCAAATATACACACTAACTGCAGCAGGTTTCTGCTTTAACTAGACCTTTTTTTTCTAATTTTATTTTCCCCTCCATATCTGCAGTTGAAATAAAAAAAACCAAAGAGCCCAGCAGACCATGTAAGAACCGTTCAGTTCCTGAGCACAGAGGTCAGAGATAGCTCTCACTGACCTCACTGTACAAAAGCAAACTCCTTCCTCTCCAGTAGTTTATGGAGAAATGAAAAGAGATTATAGGAAGGAACGCAACAGATGAATTCTTGTGTAGCTGAGCTGAAAAAATGGAAGACAAATACACAGCTGTTCTCTTGCTGGACAAGGCTTGGTAACAGGTGAAACAACAGCTGCACACTTTTAGATTTCATGATCCTAGTAAATATAGTCAGATTTGTGCCTCTGATGTGAGAATTGCCTCCTTGTGCAATTTTAAGTGAATTGAGTTCTACTGAGCATTTCACTCCGGTTGCAAGCCCATTTGCTCCTTGTTGGTTGTCCCCTACCCAATTTGATTGTCATTTAATGAAGGGTGTAGTTATATTGAGAGGACTCTGCAGACTTTGATCTTTTTTCTTTTTTCAAATCAGCTTCTTTACTTTTGTGTCTGGTATTACAGCAGAAATGTGCTTACTTCATTTTTAGATTTGACTGGTACAATATGAAGAGTATATATTGTTTATGTAGAAATCTCATGTGTTAGCTGATTTTAATGAAAATTTCTGTACAGAAGTATATTACCTATCACACTTCTCCAGACCTTAGTAAGGGTGATGTCTAGTTTTGGGAGAGATTGTTTGTTTGCATTGTGAGGAATATCAGAGAGCAAGTTTGTAGAATGACAATGGGAGCCAAAACCTACTTGTATTCAAAAGAGAGCTGGTGTAGTCTATGTTTTTAAGTCTTCCTTTGATTGATTGCTTTTTTGTTTCTGTGACAGCATAAAAACGAGTAGTTTTTTGAAAAAATATTCATCTTTTTTTATTTATTTTTGAAGGGATTCATTCAGTCAGCTCCTTACAAGGTGCTTTCTCCAACTTGCTTTGTGATTGCTAGTCACAACATGAAAATCATGGGCTAAGTCACATACTGTTTCTGCTCCCCAGCTGGGTGACTGAGGCTTTTGTAACAGTAGAGGAAGCACTGAAAGCACATGGTGCAGACACTTGCCCAGGCATAAGTTGGTATGGATGTTCATGAAATTTTCTTTCCATGAAAATTTTAAGGCAAAGCTTACTTGTATAGCAGTATACTGAAGATAAAGAGATGATTCCTTCAGTACCATTTTTCACTATTTTTGGTAAAACTCAGAATAAACAATTACTCAAAACTTTTCAATGTTTGCACTTCAGCAAATTCAGTATGTGTAAGGAAATCCAATGAAGCCACAGGAATCTTGGATTTCTGTTCATTTTTTAAAAAAAAGTTTCGTATTCATTGTTTGTGTTTCTGTTCTCAAATAGAAAGGCATATGATTGAGTAGAAAGGGGAGTCTTTTTTTGTGCTGATTTTGCCATTGTAACAAGTATTCATGTTGCAATTTCTCATTCAATGAACTATGTCAGTAAACTTTTTTCTCTTTTTTGCTCATTTTAATCAGAAGGCAGCCTCTCAATAGGATAGCCCTCAGGAGATGTCTGCATCCGTAGTGAAATCTGTTAGCTAACACGTGTCAGAGTGTAGAAGTAGGGTCAAATAAAGGGACAGACTTATATGTGTATCCTAATTTCAATAATTAAAAATCTGATGGTGTCTTTTGTTCATATTGCTTTAGGCCTTCCAGAGACAAGTGCATGAAAGTCTGACTCAGCTGGAACTGATCAATAAACAGTATCGCCGCCTGGCCCGAGAGAACCGCACTGACTCTGACTGCAGCCTCAAGCAGATGGTTCATGAGGGGAACCAGAGATGGGACAACTTACAAAAGCGAGTTACCTCCATCCTGCGCAGGCTAAAAGTATTTTTCCAGTTTTAAGCTCTTCAGTTTCACTACTATACTTATGAATCAGGGGTAGTCCAGAAGCTTCCAGTTTAATGCATTTGCAAAGTGTTTTTGAGGGGATTTCTACCTTTGGAAGAGGAAAGGAGCTTATCAGTTCGCTTCGTCTGAGGTAACCAATTAGGGAAATGCTTGGTGACCTCAAACACCACCTCCTTCATAGAAGGTAACTTTCATAGGTCAGCTAATTGCAGCTGTAGATAATGTTACTGAAAAGGGAACCTTAGAAAGCATGTAGGAAATGAAAGAAGAAGGTGTACTGAGTTTAGGTTAGGTTTGAAGGGCATGAAGGCTATTTCTTTGGAGAACCACTATTGCTGGGGTTTTTTGGGTTGTTTGGTCATTTCATGGCACTCCATTTTCCACCCCCCAGCATTTTATTGGCCAGCGTGAGGAGTTTGAGACAGCACGTGATAGCATCCTGGTATGGCTAACAGAGATGGACCTGCAGCTGACCAACATAGAGCATTTTTCAGAGTGTGATGTCCAAGCAAAGATAAAGCAACTTAAGGTAAAGAATGATTGAATGGTAACAGGAGGAGGGATGAGAGAAGGAATAAAAACATCCGTCTGGGAAAAGAATTTAAGAAACATTTTCCAAAAATGCAGCCTGATACAGTCCCTTACTTGCAGGCTGAGACTTCAGCCTCAGAAGTTGTGGGCTATGTCAGGTTTCAATATGTACTTTTCTGCCAGAGTGGAAGATCTTTGTGCTGTGAAAAATTTTCAAAAAATCAAGGGTGATAGTCTCCATTCCCTAATCAAAAGAGAAAATGTCGATAAAAATTATTAATGTCAAGTCTCCATTATTGCTGACACTTAAGAATTACTACATTTGTTAACCATTTCTGCATCAGAGAGATTATCTGGAGAGAAAATATCAAATGTCATGTTATCCAAAATTCCAGTGTGTTAGCTTTAGCATCTGTGTTCATTCTAGACATTTGGTCATGGGCATGGCTTGTTTAGAGAAGAGCTTTCTTTCCAAATACAACAAGTGAGGAATGAGATGGTAAACCATGAAGTATTACTGTTTTTGGCTAGAAAGACTGTGGAATGCTAAATTTAATTGCTCATTGTTGCTCATGCTAGAATATTTGGAATGATCCCTGTTTGTTACCCACACCATTCTTGCTGAAAAACTCTAAGACTTGCATCTTTAATAACTTAGGTTGTTGTAATGTTGATTTCATTGATAAAGCATGGGCTTTTCTTTTATGCAGGCTTTCCAGCAAGAAATTTCACTGAACAACAACAAAATTGAGCAGATAATTGTGCAGGGTGAGCAACTCATTGAGAAAAGTGAGCCCATGGATGCAGCTGTCATTGAAGAAGAACTAGATGAGCTGCGTCGTTACTGTCAAGAGGTCTTTGGACGTGTGGAACGCTATCACAAGAAACTCATCCGCCTTCCTGTGTGTATACTTACTTACATACGCATTTGTTTCGTTTGTTGTCATTTTACAAGTGTGAGAATGAGGAGGGAGAAAGATGTTGAAATGAACTAACGTGAAACTTCTGTAACTTTCCAAAAATCCTGTGTTTTAATTTTCTTACAGCCCTGACCATCTGCCTCCCTTCATTATATGTTATTTATATGCTGTTCAGAGGGCAAACTCACCAGATCTGGAATTTTTTTAAATCATCATGAAAATCCATGCAAATTGGAGATTTCTAAAACTTTATTAATGGGGGTAGCCATGTGGTACTGGTAATAAGAACATCTCCCTGCTCTGTCAGATAGTTTCACTGGCACCTTGTTGAGTTCTGTTTTGTTTAAAAAACAATGATAAAATGATTCTCCCCATCAGAAGAGACAGAAATTTGTCTCCAGAACAGAACACACAACTGATTAAGTGAGAGCAAAATGATTTTTGGTAGCTCAAGTCCTACTGAAGGAAAGGAACAAAACCCAGGCTTTTAAAAATATGAATTAATATAACGAGAGCAGTGGTCACGATAAAGGTCACTTATGCTTCCTATGACTTCATTCCAGAGTTTTCTTTAACTTGATGTCTGTATTGCAGTGGCATCAGTAAAAAGTCTGGAGACATTTGCTTGATGTGAGACTTTGTGGTGCCTTAAGTAAGCTGGCATTAGGAACTTTTTTGTTGCTTTGGTATTTTAGTGCACCTTAAAATAATGAAGGGGAAGTGCAAAAGAATGCAAAATGGAAACCCCATCAGTGTGGCTGTTGCCTAATGCTATTTTATTTCACTGACCCGGGCTGACCATGCAGTGCCTCTGCATGTTTCATTGATCGATTCTGTTTGCATTATGCTTCTAGCTGACAGATGACGAACACGACCTCTCTGACAGAGAGGTGGATCTGGATGAATCAGCAGATCTCTCTGACATACACTGGCATGACAAATCTGCGGACAGCGTTCTCTCCCCGCACCCCTCTTCCAACCTCTCGCTGCCTCTTTCCCAGCCGGTGAGAAGCGAGCGATCAGGGCGAGACACCCCTGCGAGCGTGGACTCCATTCCCCTGGAGTGGGATCATGACTACGACCTTAGCAGAGACCTGGAGACAGCCGTTTCACGGGCACTGCACTCTGAGGAAGAAGACGGAGGACAAGAGAAGGACTTCTACCTGAGAGGAGCAGCTGGTATAGCAGGTATGGTGGCAAATTGTGTGTCCTGTTCTCTCCTAGTAAAAAGAAGCAAATGTTACACGTGTGATTGCTTGGCCAAGATGCTCATGGAAAAGTATTTTAAATAGCCCCTGAAGATCTTAAATAGCTTTCCCTAAGTGATCCCAGTGGCCTTCTGGCCTTAGACACAGCTGGAGATTCCTGGATGACTACAGCCTTGGAAAATTGCAAAGGCATATATGATATGACAGGGAGTTGGCTGTGTCTCTACGCTTGTGGCCGGCCAGATCGGGTATGTCATCTGTAACAGCAATATGTCATAAGTTATTCTGACTAGAAGAAACTGTACTGGATATGGCAAGAAGTGCAGGACAAACTGATGAAGAAATGCTGTGGGAGAGATCCGCAGACAAAATCATCAAGTGCTTAAGTAAATCTTAACTCAGTCCTTACCCAGGCAAGACTCCAGCAACTGAATGTTTAGCCTGAGGTGGGATCTTGGGTCTTGCTCTGCAGTGAAGTTGGAAATCCTTTCAAAGTGTGTGTGCTTTGTGTAATAAGTCTTAATGAGTGAAAGTGCCCAAATGCAGCCAGTTGTGGGGGAAGACATACTGGTATATTATACTCTGATCTTGTGGCTGTCTTTTGCTTTCCAGGTCATTGCTCTGAAAAGAGTCAGGTTTGCCTGGATATTAAGAGACTTTCTAGCAGGCTCCCTGTGTTTCAGTCTTCATCTTTTTTCCTTCTCCAGAAAGGATGTTTGCTATTGGAACTGTTTATATATTCCATCCCATGAAAAGGACTCCTGCTCTAAGGAGACAGCCATTGCTGAGCTGTCAATTTAGACTGTGCTTTTATTTTTTCAGATGTAGAGATCCCTGAAACTCTTGAGGCCTATGTAACACTCACAGAAAACGCACTCAAAAATATCTCTGGTAGGCATCAAAAAAGACTAAGCATAGCCAGATGCAAATACGACAGTGCGCAAGCATAACTTCTTTCTCTTCTCTTAGCATCTGCTATACTTTTCACAACTTACAAGTTAAATATTTCTTACATGGCAGCATTGGCACGTTAATGTAGAAGTATCCTGCTTTACTACTGCGCTTAAAGGTATTATTAGGTGCATGGATGAAACAATGATGTTTGAAGTATTTGCCCTCCTACCTCAGCTAACTAAACTAAACTGATCAGTAGGTTACTCTGGTCTTTATTCTCTGGAGTCCCTCAACAGGACTTACTACTTTGTTACGTCTCTGAGAGAAGAGTGGTGATCAGTAGGTTACTCTGGTCTTTATTCTGTGGAGTCCCTCAACAGGACTTAATACTTTGTTACGTCTCTGAGAGAAGAGTGATTTCTACAAAGATTAAGGCAGAAGGAAAAGATATCGAGCACAACCTAACTGTTTGGTTTTGTATGTGTTTTTTTAACACAGCCACAGCTTGAATTATTACTTCGATATAAACTTCTAGTTAGTTGTTGTTTCATGTGATAACAATGCCAAGGTGAGGTACTGTAGTCCAATGTCTTTATCTTAGTTTTTTATGTTGGAAGATGAATTTTTTTTCATATTGCATTTTTACACAAGATTAAACTTATTGTTACATTTTTTAGATTACTCTCTCAGAGGTATTAGATGCACTTACAAATACCTTCTCTCATGATTTCACAACTTTCCTCTTTTGAAATAATGACTTCATTGCAAATTTGAAATAGCAAACATTTAAAATCTCAGCATTTGTGGCACAGACGTCAGGTTCACTGTCCATTTTTATTTTTTCCCCAAATTAGTGACGTAATATTGTGATTGATTAAGAGTATAAATAATAGCAGTACATATAGAAAAATGTGTATAGTTTTCTGACCTGTGAAAATTTTGAAAGTAGTGAGGGAAGAGCAATATTGAGTACTTTGTTCTGTCCATTTGGGGTGAGGCGGTGTTTTGTATGAAAAAAGATTGACCATCCAAGAGGCTTCATTTTCTGTAATTAGGAGGACAGAAGGCTCCCCTTCTCTATGCATGTTTTTGATTGTGTCTTTATAAATAAATTCAAACTGTCTTTGTAAACAGATGGAAATCAGGCATGGTGATAGAATATGGATAAGAGGGATCTCATGTGGTCCTTTAGGCTGCAGCCTGCTTCAGATTAGAATTGGCTGTAGCTAATTCATATCACAGAATTCAGCTGACCTCTATAAGGAAAATACAAGTTAGTCCTCCTTCAGGAACACTGGTATGAGTTCCAAATGGCTTGGATGAATAATACCATCTTGCAGATATGTTAAGCATAACTTTTGTTAAACACCTAATTGGAATAATACTATAAATTTTGCTGCTTAGTGTGGTTGCCTAAATCAGTTGTGGACTACTTGCTGTGGGCCTTCAAGACATCCAGTCATCTATGGACCTTGCGAAGATAATTATAACAGTATTGCTTAGCTTTTGTATACTGTTTTTAATCTTCAAAATTGTATACAAATAGGATCCTTTCATGTAGGTCAAAATTCCACTATTTTTTAGTGGAGAGAAGTAATAGAAAGAGAAACGAGGAAAAATCAAATTTTAACACGGATTTGGATCAGGAGTTTGAGATACAACGTTTTATTTGAGAGTGTTTGTGAAAGGGAGCAAGGCATTCTCCAAAATCAATGAGATTAGAACATGCTTTGCCAAGAACTTGCCCCTTCAGAGAGGTGAGGAATTCTCTGAGGGAAAAAGTCACTTCAGAATAGTTTTCAAGCCCGCTTTAAACTGTGGACTCTTTGATAGTATGCTTATGGCAAGCATGTTCATTGGTATAGTCATCTGTCCTCTGAAGGTCGCTTACACCCTCTAATGTAACTAGTTATCCGTTCACTTTGACATTGTACCACTCATACTGCTGCAGTCACATTTCTCCTTTACTGTCTAATCTAGATAGTATTTCTGATATTTATTCTGCCTGGGCAAAAGGTAAAAAAAAATTTGGCAAAACTTGGGTGACAGTCACTTTTTTTGGTTTTGGTACAGGAGAACCTGGTGCCCTGGAGGCACATATCCGACAGCTGGACAAGGCCTTAGACACCAGTCGTTTCCAAATACAGCAAACAGAAAACATCATCCGCAGCAAAACACCTACAGGACCGGAGCTGGATTCCAGTTACAAAGGATACGTGCGTCTATTTTGGAGCACAAGTCGAATAAGCACTATAAGCTTAGTTTTGCTATTGAAAGAAATATAGGTGTTTCAACAAAGCAATTGGATATTACTGCTTCTCAGACTTACTCACTTATATGGTTGCTACCCTTAACCACATGCTATTGTTGTTTATGTTATTAGTGTGCTTACAATAGCATAAGATTACAGGAACGTGACTCTAAGGAATTTATTTTCCTATTACATTTTTGCAGATGTCTAAAAGTACTTTCTCACACGTGTTTGTATCCACCTGATGATGATATCCTTGTTTAAAATTCCTCTGCTTTTAAAAGCAGGTTTTATAACTTCACGCACAATATTCATCTTGCTGATGAATTATAAACATGCATCATGTAAGCAAGGTTGCATATATGTAATCCGTGATTAAAAAGCTTTCTCAGAGAGATTTTCTGGAAGAAAAATCTCTCAAAATCATTAAAATAATTTTATTACTGGCCAAATTGAAAAATTAGCTGCTTGGATGCATAGTAATGTTTTCAAACTTATGTTTATTTTCTTTATCACATATTCTAGTGTCTTTGCCATAGTGTCTTAACATTTAGAACAGATGGCACCTAAAGTCATCCAGCACAATTTGGCACAGTGGCACTGAGTTATTTCTGTTTAGTCTGAACTTATGCCTTAAGCCTTTATTGTCTCCATATAAATTTCTTTGATAGTATCAGGACAGATTGTTAAAGTAATAGATTTTTATCGTCACACTTAGACTTACTTCTGGAAGTTTTGGAAGTTGCATTGTTATTTGCATTTTCCATGCAATTAGTCCTGTACAGTGCATATTGAGATGGGATTTTTTGTTTGTTAACACAGATGAAGCTACTAGGTGAGTGCAGTGGAAGCATAGACTCAGTAAAAAGGCTTGGATATAAGCTGAAGGAGGAAGAAGAAAAATTATCTGGACTTATTAACCTGAACAGTACTGAAACACAAACAGCTGGTAAGTAACATTTAGTTCGTTGATGGAAAGCAATTATGAAAAGTAGCAAACATGCAAAGTTTTTCTGAATAAACACTTGGTATTATATATATATTT